CAGGTGGTTGGAATGTCGAACTGAACCCTTTATTTCGCTCACTGTTACAGTTCCACGTGGCATGTCTAATGGATGTCGGTTGTCAGTTATCTCCTGTTAATTTGCCTCTGAAAGTTCTCTACTGCCTTAACCGGGTATTGAACCAACACTCTTTGGGTCCTGTCAATGGATCTAACTAACGCTTTTATCCATTGTGCCATGTGTCCTGAAGAAAGCCGGAGCGTACAACGGCCGAAACGTTGTAATAAATATGGTGACAAAGATGAGAACAATAGTCCGAATAATGTAAATAATGTCCATGTTCATATTGACCATGGCACTCTTGAGAGCTTCCTTGCTGGTGTAGAGTCTACTATTCACCTCCCTCTCCAAGATGTCCAACACAAAATAGCTGAGAGAATTGTATTCTAGCGATGAGGGTGGGGGCAGAAGTCGGGTGACTAGTGGTACGGTGAGCAAGTGGAGCCTCTTGAGCACATAAGATTTATAATTGAATTCCTCTTTAACAATAAGCCTGATGGTGTCCATTTCCTTAGCGATTTTCCTCATGTGTTTGTTGGGGTACTCCTTGAAAACCTCGGCATTGTCGGCGACGATCTCGAACGTCTTGTGTGCACCAGAGCGCTACTTATGAGTCTTGTATTCTGGCCTGAAATTGTTCTTGTCCTCTGAGGTCCCATATGCCTTTGTAAGCTCGTAGACCATGGTTTCAGGGTACTTAAGCTATCCATTGATTTACTCGGTTCTGTGGACGACACGAACCCTCTGTACAACAGCAGCTTGACGATCATATTCTAAAGACATGTTGGTTACTAAGCACCTCGTATGTCAATGACCAGACAGTTACTGAGGTATAATAATTTTCTAATGATGGTCGCGAAACATCGCTACGTTGTGACGTCGCGCTGCTGTTGTAAAAATTCCAGATTTATCTGCGCCACACTGTACTTGTCAGGCATTTTGACCCAAATCAGTCGGCAACCAGAATTTAGGCCTTTCAAAGAAATGGAATAAAACTGATGGTTGTAATATGTACACAAGGACTCTCCGCGGATGGTTGAAGCTGCACGATCCATTGTAACTCCGACTGTCATCTGTCGATAAAATAATTATATATCTTATTACATAGAAAAAAAAGTGAATATATTCTGTCCAACTGGAGTATATTCTAACGTAGGCTAGTTTATATCCCCACCCACGAGAATAAAACAGTTTAGCCTAAAATAACACCGGATATATTCTTCTTCTTTGCCTTTTGACCTATCACTAGCTGACAAAAACAGGAATCAAATATTCTTTCTGAATAACAAGTTAACTCTTTTTAGCTGATATATATTTATTCAAAGCTAAACAGTTCCATTTAACCTGGTTTGTAATCAGAAATTCTGTTTTCTCCTAGGTTGGCTGCCAGCCAAAACTTCTGAGTCCAACCTGTGCGGCAGGCAAAATCAGTTTTCCTTCTCCAAGACTGGTTACCACCCAAAGGCAATAGAGCCGAGACTGAGTTGCTATTTAATCCATTTAATTTGTTATTGGATACGCCTGAGTGATTAGGATCGACCTATATACGCCGTATGTTCTGATTTCTTAGCCACAGATCCAAGATGGACTTGGACACAAGTTGAACTGCCTAGATGTATGTCATAATGAATTCGAGAATAAATTTCCAGGTTCTATTTACACACGGAATTAACAAAAAGAGATCCACATCATAACGGATTCTTGGCTAAACATCCAAAGGCGACTTATACATTGATCATGTATAAGTCATAATGAATTCTAGAATAAATATCCAGGGTCGACTTATACACGGGACTGACGAATACAGATCTATGTCAATGCATCCACGACCGATTTATACACTGGATCGAATAATACATATCTATGTCATAATGAATTCTTGACTAATAATCCAAGGTCGACTTATGCACGGGATTCTCATAACGAATTCGTGGCTAAACATTCAAAGTCGATTTATACAATGGATCGGCTAATAAAGATATATTTCATAACGAATTCTTGGCTAATAATCCAAGGTCGACTTATACACGGGATCGATCAATAAAAAATTAATACAACAGATTTCTTGGCTAAAAATCCAAAGCTGGCCAATGCACTGGATCGACCTCTACTTGACTATAAACTGCTTTTGCTCCTTTAAATAATCTTTTTCATGTTTTCGGGTCAGACCCACCCGCTTTTTTTTCCCCCTAATGTCCATCCGGTTTTTGTGGGGTCATAAATTTTATCCCTTCCCTTACATTTTTTTTCTTAATAAAAAAAGGGCAAAACTAATAAGATAAAAAAAAAAAAAATACGAATAAGTCAAAGGCAAAAAATGGTTTAACTAAAAAGGGAGAGGGATTATCAAAGAAATATATGAATTGTAACAGAAAGTCATTTCTGCATGTAAGTTCCTAAATGGGCTTAACGAAAAAGGGACCTTACATTGCAAAAGTCTACCATTCGTCCATGCATTAAATATTACTGCCACATATGGTTCTAGAGATTCCTGACAAACTCCAAAGAAGAATCAGCAATATTATTGCTCCTGACATGGCGTCTCGGCTTCAGTCCCGCCCCCCCTGCTGTAATGTATCTTACCTGTGCCGTTATCTAATAAATCCTTTGATGATAATTGTTCTGATGAAATTTTTGCTATGGTACCCAGACTTCATGAATTTAAGCGTAGTACTAAATTGACGGCAAGGTCTCGTCAATTCACAGATCAATTTGGATAAATGGAACCGTAAGTTCTATGCTAACAGTTTCTTTTCTCGCACTTATCGCTTGTGGAACTCTTCAGACTTCTTTCAAGCCAACTTTGATCATCAAAATTTCTAATGCAATGTCAATCGTTATCTACTGTCTTCCTGATTACTCTTCTGTTGTTCTCACTCCTTAATAATGTTTCTTTTTTATTAATTCACACTCAATAACCCCTTGCATTTCAGTGGCTTTACGGCTTTGTATGGGGTGAATTGATTAATAAAAAAAATAATGTCACGTTTAAAAAGTCTAAAATAATTAAGGATAAAGATAGACATATCTGAAATTATTTTATAGAAATTTATCTCCCTTATCTAATGGGTTGATTCTCACGAGTTGCCGTAATATCTCGTTCCAGATTAGACGAGACTTGGGAGATATCTACATAAATATTCTACTGTCAACCGACGAACGGCAAATTTGAATCGTTTCCCATTCGCTAATCCAGTGAGTATAATCCACACAAAATATCCGTATAATATAGCTATGTTCCAGAGTAGCTTCAAATTAGTAAATACTAATCTCTTGGTGAAGGGGGATAGTCCGTAAACATCTCTCGCAAGAATATTACCTAATATAGTCACTCCGATGTATTTGAAACGGCCTACAAAATTATCCCTAAACGAACCTTCAACCATACATATTCGGTTTGGTTTGGCTGGTTTGGGTGGCTTGGTTTGTTTTACGATATATCAACCTCAATGGATTATTTAATGCCGACAAGATTTTTGGTAATTATTTTTTTTTTTTTTCAAAGGTTTTTTTCTGGTAATATTTTTTTTTCAAAATATATTACTAGTAGTATTTTTAAAAAATGTATTGCTGGTAGTAACATTTTCTTAAAAAATTTATTGCTGGTGATTTTTTCTTGAAAAATTTATTGCTGGTAATTTTTTCTTGAAAAATTTATTGCTGGTAATAATTTTTTCTTGAAAAAAATTATTGCTGGTAATAATTTTTAACAAAAATGTATTTCTGGTATTAAAACCTATTTTTACACCTTCATAGTGTTTTGACTCCAGTTTGGGGTTTAACTATTTGCCCATAGTTGGGACCCTAACAGGTGCTACCACCCCAGATCAGGGTGGACCTGGAAGCACCAACAATTCCACACTCCTTAAGACCTTCTGATCAGAGACCTTGCTTGTCGGATGTAGTTTATCGTCATACCCAGGACGGTCCGACGATTGATGTACAAACATTTTATACTTAGACGCGTGTCACAGACTTTATCATATTCCTCTATTTACAAATGTGGGATTTACCCAGACGCCCACTCGAACAGAATGTGGTACAGGGGCGAGTTTAAAGCGGGGATCACACGCACACATGTCAAAAAACTGCCCAGACACTTCAGCACATCGCCTTTTGGTCACACCTCAGGTACCAGGGATTAAAACTAACCCTCCTCTCGTAAAAGTGTTACTGCAAGGGAGACAGCAGATAGTAAGAATAATTTTGTGTGTGTGTGTGTGTGAGCGAATATTTCAATAACATTTTTTTCTTCAGAATATATATTTCTAAATACAGGTCTGACTATTTAACCCATAGCTGGGGGGTAGATGGGCTTATACCGTTCCCAAGTGTATTTGTGCTTAAATGAATATAAAGAAACCGACTGGGGCTTGAAATCGGCTCTCCAATTTCTCATTCCGAGCCGCTTTACATTATATAACCCGCATATCCACTTTAAACAACGAAAAAGTAATAAACAGTTATGTTATATCAATTCTTCCCCCTATCAGTGAATAGCGGACAATTTACGCACAGGGGAAAAGGAAAGTCCAGCCAAAGTAAAGTGTTTCTATGAAAGGATGCTGAGATTACCATGGACGGAGCATATGAGTAACCAGGAGGTTTTATGAACAATGGAAAATAAACGGTTGAAAATTCTTGGGCACATATTAAAGTAAAAAGGTTTGAGGAATTTGACCCTCACAAGACATAATGAAGGCAAGAATGTCAGCGAGAAATATCGGGCAACGTAGCTAACGATCTTGATGACTGGCAGAAAATGGAACTGGAAGCGGATAGTAAGATAAACACTTAATAAAAACTTCCTTATAAGGAAACATTCTGCGTTCATTAACCGAAAAGAAAGTGTTCTCCAGATGTCTCAAATCCGCTAGCTGTTATCACTCTTTCCAGTATTGATGGGAGTTTCCTTGCTAATCCTTAGTTTGAAGTGAAATGTCAACCTCTTGATTATGTCATTATTTTCATTCCGAGATGACGGTCACGTCACGTCGAAACACCGGTTTTCGAACGCTCACCGAAGTTAAGCAACGTCGAACCTGATCAGTACCTAGATTGGTGACCGCTTAGGAATAGTGGACGCTGTAAATTTGGACGTGAAGGTAGTTTAATGCATAATGGCGCGGGATTTGTTAATGGGAGAGTCGTGTTCCAATTCCAGTTGAGTTCGTTATATTCACTTACGCGCAAATACCTTTGGGAAAGGTATGAATCCCCCTTTTCTCTAGACCCACCCCCACAAAGACAAATTTGCTCCAAATCGGCCTTCCTTGTGTAGGACCATCCGAAAGGGGACGGAGATATTCGAGTCCAACCGACAGCATGAAGACCATCTGAGACGTGTTGCCAGAAGCGTCCGACTCGCCTAGCCGCGTCCACCACCCACTCTCCTCTGTGACTCTTGCTCACGACTCTTCAAGAGTAGGCTTGGCCTTCACATACATCTCCGCCACCGCCACCAGAGGGGAGAAAGGGAATGAGGGGAGAGGATGACGACCCCTGATACTCCGATGCGTGTGGGTGCCGACTAGATTATCTCTAAATATAATTTTAAAATTTTTATAATCTAAAAATATCTCCTGGCTTTAAATAACCTGTGAAGGGTTGATAAACCGTAGAAAAGGAAACGATCTCTCTGAGTTTCATGTGCTATACATTTTATTTTTTGCAGTTGTTGAAAGTCCTGAAGTGACGATGTTTCTGTTATTTGGCGCAGTTCTTTGTGATCTTCTAGCGAGAAGGAAAGCGAGAAGAATTGACTGTCAACTGGATGAAGATAGAATGTCTGGTCATTTAGCAAGAGGGGCATCACAGGATGCTATTTACGAACAGGAGACGTCCACATCAAGCAAGTATAGAAATTTAAGAGTCTAGGGAGATGTTGTAACCGATAACAGAAAATGTGACACAAATCTCGAAGGTGAATTAAAATTGTGAAAGATGCTTTCCAAAAACTAAGCAAAAAGAGAAGAAAAAGAAATTCCGTTATAAACATAAAAAAATTATCTCTAAAAATATTTTTAAAGATTCTTATAATCTAAAAATATCTCCTGGCTTTAAATAACCTGCGAAGGGTTGATAAGCCGTAGAAAACGATACGATCTCTCAGAGTTTCATGTGCTATACAGTTTATACATATGTTATATCAATCCTTCTACAAAACAGTGAATGCTCCTGTAGAGATAAAGGGTATATTTGGTTTGGTTTGGTTTGGTTTGGTTTGTTTTACGGCACATCATTACCTCTATGGGTTATTTAATGCCGACAAGATTTTTTAGGATAGGTTCGTATGAATAAAATATGAATTCTTTGTAAGAAAACAGTTTGTAGATTAGGTTTCATTGATATTTTTGTAAAGAGGGTATTTGTCGACAGTCGTGTCAAATGCTAGTATTTTTTTTTAAATGTATTGCTCGTAGAACCTATTTTTATACTTTCATTGTGTTTTGACCTCAGTTTGGAGGTTAACTATTTGCCATAGCTAGGACCCTAACAGGTCCTGCCACCCCTGGTCAGGGTGGACCTGGGAACAACAGAAATTAAGAGGTGGTTCCACACTACTCAAAACTTCCCGGTCAGAGGTCTTTTTACCGGAAGTAGTTTATCGTCATACCAATGATAGATAAAGGAAAGACTTGAAACAAGAAAAATATGTTCCTACAGAAGCATGCTGAGAATACCATGCCTGTTACATATAAGCAACGAGGAGGTTTTAAAGAAAATGGAAACAAAATGATGTTTGTACTTAGATTCAGAAGCAAACAGTTAAAATGTTTGTGTCAAATAATGAGGAAAGAAGATTTGGGGAATTTGACACTCAGAAGGTATATTGAAGAGGAGGAAAAGAAGGAAAGAGCGGGTAACCTAACGAGCGAGATTGTGTAGATGGATGGCAGAGGGGGATTATGAAGGATAGCATAGGTAGGAAGTTGTGGAGAGTCATGATTGATCACATCCTGTATTAAGGCGGCAAGTAAAAGAGACAGAAGCGTGTTATTGTTAGGGCATCTGCTCCATCACACCCGCCTTTTTTTCTTTCTGAAATACTAATGAAGAGCAAAGACACCGGGTGTGTTTTCCTTTAAGCATCGGCATCAGCCATGAAGAAGATTTAGGGTGAGGAGGAGGAGGATTGTTTAAATTGGGGTGGGTTGAGGAAACTTGACTGTTTTTGGCACGCGAACCAACATCAGGTCAGGTGCCAGTTCTTTTAACTCGGAAGACCATTTAACATATATTTTTTAAAATATGAATATAACCTCGATTTATTCTGTTCCATTTATTTATTTTCTTTCTTTCTTCTTTTCTTTTTTCCTCCCTCTCCCTTTTTTCTTTTTCCTTCCTTTCTTTCATTCATTCTTTTTTTTTTTTCTATCTTTCTGTCTTTTTATTCTTTATTTTTTCTTTTCATTCGTTTTTCTTTTTTCTTCTCTCTTTTTCTGTCTTCTTTTCAATTTTGTTCTTTCTTTTCCTTTTTTTTTCTTTTCCTTTTTCTTTCTGTCTTTGTTTTTTTCTTTCTTTCTTTTTTCTTTCTTTCTTTTTTCCTCCCTCTTCTTCTCAATTTCTTTCTTTCTTTTTTATTCTTTTCATTTTATCTTTTTCCTTTCTTTTCTTTCTTTTCTTTCTTTCTTTCTTTATTTATTTTTTATTTATTTTTATTCCTCCTCTCTTTCTTTCTTTCTTTCTTTTTATTCCTCCTTTCTTTCTTTCTTTTTCTTTCTTTCTTTCTTTATTTTTTTTATTCCTCTCTTTCTTTCTTTTTCTTTTTTATTTTTTTCCTCCTTCTTTTTTCTTTTTATTCATCCTTCTTTTAATTATTTCTTTTTTCTTTCTTTTGTTTCTCCTCTCTTTCTTTCTTTCTTCCTTTTTTATTCCTCTTTTCTTTCTTTTTCTTTCTTTCTTTCTTTCTTTATTTTTTTATTTATTTCTTTCTTTTTTCTTTCTTTCTTTCTTTCTTCTTATTCTTTCTTTCTTTTTCTTTCTTTTTATTCCTTCTCTCTTTTTCTTTGTTTTGTCTTATTTTTTTTTTCTTGTCTTTTTCTTTCTTTTTTTGTTTTTATCCCCCCTTTGTTTGTTTGTTTTTTTCTTTCTTTCTTTCTTTCTTTCTTTCTTTCTTTCTTTCTTTTCTTTCTCTCTTTTTTTATTTCTTTTTATTTCTTTCTTTCTTTCTCTCTTTTCTTTCTCTTTTTTTTCTTTTTTCGCATTTTTCTTTTTTTCCTCTCTCTTTTTAGTCCTTCTTCTCATTTTTCTTTCGTTTTTTCCTTTCACTTTTTCTCCTTTCTCTTTTTTCTTTCTTTCTTTTTCTTTTCTTTTTTTTTCTCTTTTTCTTTTTTTTATTTTTTTCCTTTTCTTTCTTTCTTTTTTTCTTTTCTTTCTTTCTTTCTTTTTCTCCCTGTCTTTCTTTCATTCTTTCTCTTTCATTCTTTCTTTTTCTTTTTTTCTCATTTTCTTTCTTCTCTCTCTCTCTTTCTTTTCTTTTCTGATTTTCACTTTTCTTCCTCACTTTTTCTTTTGTTACTTCCTACTTTATATCTCCTCTCTTTCTGTTTCTTTCTTTCTTTCTCCTTCTTTTAGTTTTCTTCCATTTCTTGTCAGGTTCTCCAATTAATCACCTCTATATTTCCATTCTTTGCTATCCAACATACTTTTGTCTCCTTTTTCTCGATGGGGAGGCGTTTCTTGCCTACCATTATCCATTTTCCGTGTCCAGGCGTCTCAGTTACATTTTAACCATTTTCTGGCCGTTTTTCAAACCCAAACTTAAACGTACGCATCATTTTGTTTTTTTAGAAAATTATCCCTCAAGAGTAAAGTTTTGTAATCTATTGAGCATATTTTTAATTTAGAAAAATTAATTTTAATATTTTCTTTCTTTCTGCAGCAAAATTATTAAAGCTTTTTTTTTTAAATCCATATTACAACCAAAAATGTTTGCAGTTTCTCTCTTCTTTTATTATACACTCTTTTTCTCTTGTTCTTTATAACCTCTATATATATATATATATATATATATATATATATATATATATATATATATATATTTATATTCTTTCCATATAAGATATCTCTAAACCTTTTCTTTCAGTTAATTATAGCTTTTTTCCTTGTTTGAAAAATCAAATTCATTACAGTTTTTCTTTTTTCATATTCAAATTTTTCTTTCTTTCTATCTTTCTTTTTTTCTCTCTCTTTTTTCTTTCTCTCTCTATTTTCTTTTTCTTTCTTTGTTTCTTTATTTCATTTGGCTTTTTTCTTTCTGATTATTTATTTCTCTGTTTATTTACTTCTTTATTTTTAGTTTCTCTTTCTTTTTCTTCCTCTCTATTTTTTTCTTTTGCTTTTCTTTCTTATTTTCTTTCTTTTTCCTTTTTTTTTATTTTGTTTTTTCCTTCTTTTTTTTCTTTGCTTCTTTCTTTCTTTCTTTGATTTTTTTTTCTTTCCTGTTATTTTTTTCTTTCTTTCTTCTTTTTTTCTTTCTTTCTTTTTTGTTTTTTCTTTTTTCTTTTATTTCTTTGGATTTTTTCGTTTGTCATTTTGTTTACTTTTTTCTTTTTTTTTTTTACCCATTATTTTCATTTTTCTTTTTTCTTTTTTTTTCTTATTTTCTTCATTTGTTTTTTTCATTCTTTTTCTTTCTTTTCGTTCTTTTCTTTTTTTTCTTTCTTTCTTTCGTTTCATTTACCATTTTCTTTTTCTTTCTTTCTTTCTTATTTTCTTTCTTTCATTCCCTTTTTTTCTTTCTTTTGTTTTTTCTCAATTTTTCTTTCTTTCTTTCTTTTTGTTCTTTGCCCTTTCTTTTGATTTTTTGGTCTTTTGTCTTTCTGTCTACCTTTTTCTTTACTTCTTTCTTTCTCGCTTTCTTATTTTCTTTCTTTTATTCTTTTTTCTTTCTTTTTTTCAGTCGTTCTTTTTCTTTCGTTCATTCTTCTCTTCTTTCTTTCTTTCTTTCTTTCTTTTGAGTTTTTTTTCTTTTGTCTTTCTCTCTAGCTTTTTCTTTCTTTCTCTCTTTTATTCCTTTTTTTTCTTTTTTCAGTCGTATTTTTTTTTCTTTTTTTCCTTCGACCATTCCTTTTCTTTTCATTCTTAATATACGACGGTTCTCTTGATAATATTTACTTTATAAATCTTAATCAGTAACGGAACGTTTTATACAACACATGATCAAAAAATTTTTTCTTTCTTTTATATTCCGTTCCATTCTTGTTCTTTGCGTTTTTTCTTTTTCCTTTTGCCTTTCTGTCATTTTTCTTTTCAACTTACTTTATTCTTTTTTTCTTTTATTTTCACTCGTTCTTTTTTTGGTTCTTTGCGTTTTTCTTTCTTTTGATTTTTTTCTTTTGCCTTTCTGTCATTTTTTTTTCTTTTTATTTTTCATTTCTTTTCTTTCTTTTATTTTTCACTCGTTCTTTTTTTATACGGGCCGTTTTTCTTTACCATTTTTTCTTTTCCATTTTCCGTGTCCAGGCGTCTCATTTTTCTTTGCGTTTTTTCTTTCTTTTGATTTTTTTACTTTTGCCTTTCTGTCATTTTTTCTTTCTTTTTTAACTTTCTTTCATTTCTTTTTCTTTCTTTTTTTTTGGCCGTTTTTTCTTTCTTTTGATTTTTTTCGACTTTCAATTTTTTTTCCTTTCAAACATTGTTCTTTGCGTTTTTCTTTCTTTAATTTTTTCTTTTGCCTTTCGCATTTTTTCTTTCATCAAACTTTTATTTTCGCGACGATTTTTTGTTTTTTTCTTTGCGTTTTCTTTCTTTTTTTTTTCAGACCTGTTTTTTTCTTTCTTTTTTTTTTTTTTCTTTTTTTTTCTTTTTCTTTGTTCTTTGTTTTTTCTTTCTTTTGATTTTTTTCTTTTGCCTTTCTGTCATTTTTTTTTCTTTTTTAAATTTCTTTTTTCTTTCTTTTTATTTTTAATTTTTTTTCTATTGTTCTTTGCGTTTTTCTTTCTTTTGATTTTTTTCTTTTGCCTTTCTGTCATTTTTTCTTTCTTTTTTATTTTCAATTTTCTTTTCTTTATTTTTTCGTTCTTTTTTCTATTGTTCGCGTTTTTTCTTTAAGAAAATTTTTTTTTTGCCTTTCTGTCATTTTTCTTTCTTTTATTTTCTTTCTTTCATTTCTTTTTTTCTTCTTTTTTATTTTCCTCGTTCTTTGGAAATTTTGCCTTTCTGTCTTTTTTCTTTCTTTTGATGAAGGTTCTTTGCGACTTTCTTTTGATTTTTTCTTTTGCCTTTCTGTCATTTTTCAAATTTCTTTTTCTTTTTTTTTTTTGTTCTTTTTTTATTGTTCTTTGCGTTTTTCTTTCTTTTGATTTTTCTTTTGCCTTTCTGTCATTTTTCTTTCTTTTTATTTTCTTTCTTTCATTTCTTTTTCTTTCTTTTGTTTTCCTCGTTCTTTTTTTTCATTGTTCTTTTGCGTTTTTTTTTTTTTTTTTTTTCCTTTTGCCTTTCTGTCAATTTCTTTTCTTTCTTAAATTTTTCACTTTTATTTTTCTTTGCGTTTTTTCTTTCTTTTGATTTTTTTCTTTTGCCTTTCTGTCATTTTTCTTTCTTTTATTTTCTTTCTTTCATTTCTTTTCTTTCTTTTGTTTTTTCACTCGTTCTTTTTTCTATTTCTTTTTTTTTTCTTTTGCCTTCTATTTCATTTCTTTTTCTTTCTTTTTATTTTTCACTCGTTCTTTTTTCCTATTGTTCTTTGCGTTTTTTTCTTTTCTTATATTTCTTTTGCCTTTCTGTCATTTTTCTTTCTTTTTTATTTTCTTTCTTTCATCTCTTTCTTTTTATTTTTCTTATTCTTTTTTCTCCTTTCTTTTTGATTTTTTTCTTTCTTCTTTTTTTTTCTTTCTTTTTTTTATTTTCTTTCTTTCATTTCTTTTCTTTTCTTTTTATTTTGTTTTTCTCGTTCTTTTTTTCTATTTTTCTTTGGTTTTTTCTTTCTTTTTCTTTTTTTCTTTTGCCTTTTTGTCAATTTTCTTTCTTTCAAATTTCTTTTTCTTACTTTTTTTTTTCCTCGTTCTTTTTTTCTATTGTTCTTTGCGTTTTTTCTTTCTTTTGATTTTTTTCTTTTGCCTTTCTGTCATTTTTCTTTCTTTTTATTTTTTTTCATTTCTTTTTCTTTCAAACTCGTTCTTTTTTTCTATTTTCTTTGCGTTTTTCTTTCTTTTTTGATTTTTTTCTTTTGCCTTTTGTCATTTTTTTTTTCTTTTTTTTTTTCTTTCTTTCATTTTTCTTTTTTTTCTTTTTTTTTTCTCGTTCTTTTTTTCTATTATTTCTTTGCGTTTTTCTTTCTTTTGATTTTTTTTTTTTTCTTTTGTTTTTTTTTCTTTTTTTTTTTCTTTCTTTCATTTCTTTTTCTTTCTTTTTTTTTCCTCGTTCTTTTTTTTCTATTTATTTGCGTTTTTCTTTCTCTGATTTTTTTTTTTTGCCTTTCTGTCACTTTTTTCTTTCTTTTATTTTTTCTTTCATTTCTTTTTTTTTCTTTTATTTTTCCTCGTTCTTTGTTCTTTGCGTTTTCTTTTTTTGATTTTTTTTCTTTTTGCCTTTTTTTTTTCTTTCTTTTTATTTTCTTTCTTTCTTTTGTTTTTCGTTTTTTTTTCTATTCCGTTTTCTTTTGATTTTTTTTTTTGCCTTTCTGTCATTTTTCTTTCTTTTTATTTTCTTTCTTTCATTTCTTTTTCTTTCTTTTTATTTTTCCTCGTTCTTTTTTTCTTTGTTCTTTCGTTTTTCTTTCTTTTGATTTTTTTTTTGCCTTTTGTCATTTTTTTTTCTTTTTTTTTCTTTCTTTCATTTTTTTCTTTCTTTTTGTTTTCAGTCGTTCTTTTTGTCTATTATTTTTTGCGTTTTCTTTCTTTTTGATTTTTTTTCTTTTTTTTTCATTTTTTTCTTTCTTTTTTATTTTCTTTCTTTTTTGTTTTCTGTTTTTTTTTTTTTCTTTTTTTTTATTTTCTTTGCGTTTTCTTTCTTTTGATTTTTTTCGCCTTTTGTCATTTTTTCTTTCTTTTTATTTTCTTTCTTTCATTTTCTTTATTTTCTTTTGTTTTTCACTCGTTCTTTTTTTTTTATTTCTTTGCGTTTTTCTTTCTTTTATTTTTTTTTCTTTTGCCTTTCTGTCATTTTTTTCTTTCTTTTTATTTTTTTCTTTTTTCTTTTTCTTTTTTTGCTCGTTCTTTTTTTTCTATTGTTTCTTTGCGTTTTTTCTTTCTTTTTGATTTTCATTTTGTCATTTTTTTTTCTTTTTATTTTCTTTCTTTCATTTCTTTTCTTTCTTTTTTTTTTCCTTTTCTTTTTTTTCTATTGTTCTTTCGTTTTTCTTTCTTTTGATTTTTTCTTTTGCCTTTCTGTCATTTTTCTTTCTTTTTATTTTCTTTTTTCATTTCTTTTTCTTTCTTTTGTTTTTCCTCGTTCTTTTTTCTTTCTTTTGATTTTTTTTCTTTTGATTTTTTCTTTTTGTTTTTTCTTTTTTTTTTCTTTTTATTTTTCCTCGTTTTTTTTTTTCTATTGTTCTTTCTTTCTTTCTTTTGATTTTTTCTTTTGCCTTTCTGTCATTTTTCTTTCTTTTTATTTTTCTTTCTTTCATTTCTTTTTCTTTCTTTTTTTTTTTTCTTTTTTTTTTTTTTCTTTGCGTTTTTCTTTCTTTTGATTTTTTTCTTTTGCCTTTCTGTCATTTTTTCTTTCTTTTTTATTTTCTTTCTTTCATTTCTTTTTCTTTCTTTTTATTTTTCACTCGTTCTTTTTTTTCTATTGTTCTTTGCGTTTTTCTTTCTTTTGATTTTTTTCTTTTGCCTTTCTGTCATTTTTTCTTTCTTTTTTATTTTCTTTCTTTCATTTCTTTTTCTTTCTTTTTGTTTTTCACTCGTTCTTTTTTTTCTATTGTTCTTTGCGTTTTTCTTTCTTTTGATTTTTTTCTTTTGCCTTTCTGTCATTTTTTCTTTCTTTTTTATTTTCTTTCTTTCATTTCTTTTTCTTTCTTTTTGTTTTTCACTCGTTCTTTTTTTTCTATTGTTCTTTGCGTTTTTCTTTCTTTTGATTTTTTTCTTTTGCCTTTCTGTCATTTTTTTTCTTTTTTATTTTCTTTTTTCATTTCTTTTTTTTTCTTTTTTTTTTTTTTCTTTTTTTCATTTTTTTTTTTTCTTTTTTTCCTTTTTTCTTTTTTTTTCTTTCGTTCTTTTTATTTTTTTTCTTTTCATTTTTTTTTTCTTTTGCTTGTTTTTTTCTTTTATTTTTTTCGTTTTTCTTTTTTGATTTTTTTTTCTTTTTCTTTTTTTTTTCTTTTTTCATTTTTTCTTTTCTTTTCTTTTCGTTTTTCTATTTCTTTTTTTTTCTTTCTTTGATTTTTTTTTTTCTTTCTTTCATTTTTTTTTTTATTTTCTTTCTTTCATTTTTTTTTTTTTTTTTTTTTTTATTTTCTTTTCGTTTTTTCTTTCTTTTGATTTTTTTTTTTTTTCATTTTTTCTTTTTTTTATTTTCTTTTCTTTTTTTTCTTTTTTTTTTCTTTTAACTTTTTTTTCTATTCTTTTTTTCGTTTTTCTTTTTTTATTTTTTTTCTTTTTGCCTTTCTGTCATTTTTCTTTTTTTATTTTTTTTCTTTCATTTCTTTTTTTTCTTTTGTTTTTCTTTTTTTTCTTGATTTTTTTCTTTTTTTTTTTCTTTTGCCTTTCTGTCATTTTTCTTTTTTTTTCTTTTTTTTTTTTTTCATTTTTTTCTTTTCTTTTATTTTTTTCTTTTCTTTTTTCTATCATTTTTTTTTTGCTTTTTTTTTTTTGATTTTTTTTGCCTTTCTGTCATTTTTTCTTTCTTTTTTATTTTCTTTCTTTTTTCTTTCTTTTTTGTTTTTCGTTCTTTTTTCTTTCTTTTTTTTTCATTTTCTTTTTTATTTTTCATTTCTTTTTCTTTCTTTTTTGTTTTCAGTTCTTTTTTCTTTCTTTTGTTCTTTCGTTTTTTCTTTCTTTCTTTTGATTTATTCTTCTTTTTACCATTTTCTTGGTTTCTTTTCTTATTTTTCCCTTTCTTTCGATCTTTGCTTCTTTCTTTCTTTCTTTCTTTCTTTTGATTTTTCTTCTTTTTTTATCATTTATTTTCTTTTCTTTCTTATTATCTTTTTTTTTCTTTTTTTGTTTCAGTTCTTTTTCTTTTTTTTGTTTTTTCTTTTTTTTTTTTTTGATTTTTCTTTTCTGTTATTTATATATATATATATATATATATATATATATATATAAGAAAATTGGGGAAAATAAAGAACGAAATCAAGAAAAAAAAAATTAACTTCACTAATTACAAAATAGCTATATAGTTATAAAGATAAGTCAAATGAAATCAAATCAATTAAAATAATATATATATATATATATATATATATATATATATATATATATATATATAATAACTGGTAATCCAATAAAGATACCGTATAGTAAGAAAACAGGAAATAAATAGAATAAGATTAATATTAAACATATTATTGATGGTCACCAAGGTATTCATAGTAATTTAGTGATAGAGAAAATGTATTTTTGTAATGGGTAAGTGACGATAAACTTTGGAAGCATATAGAAAGGTCAGAGGAAAAGCAATACAGTGCAATTGTCAAATAATAACAGTTCGTGCAATTGTCGAAATGAACAACATTTCACGCAAGTTCAGTCAGGACTGAGGAGAAGCAAAACTCATAGTGTAATTGTCAAATGAAGACAATTCACGCAAATCCTTGTAAATTTTATTTCAATTTACAAGATGAAAATGATCATTAACCTAATGTAATCATAATTCCTATTGTATAAAATATGCTGCTCTGTTTAATTAAAACATTGAGATCTGTGTGTGAATCAGTTTTAATATTTAATATCTTATTAACATGATTCACTTGGATTATATACCAACGTATTATTACCTGCATATATATATATATTTGTATGAGTGTTTTTCTTTTCTGGACACAAAGTGTGTAAAAATTGTCCAAGTGTTCTGTATTTCCGGGCGCTTTCGGCTATTCGAGTAGCCTTTACTAAAGAGTTTTTTTTTTGTTGTTGTTTTTTTGTTATTTTTAACTGAATGTGTGGATTTATTTTTAATTAGAGTGATAGATTTTTTTCCAAACACAGTTAGTACATTATGTCCGTGTTCATAGTTCTTCTTTTTTTATCCACTTGGCCATGGAGAATTGAGTTACCAAGGGGAATTAACTGGTAAACTCCAACAAATATCACCCGAAGATGGCCTGAGCTTACAATGGCCGAAATGTCGTGAATAAGGCAATAAAGACGAGGACAACAGCCCGAACAATGTCAATAGTGTAAATAGTTAAAATATCTCATCTCAGAAATAGAGACATATGTTGTAAAACTTTGTCCACGGATTTAGTGTTAGCTTTTTTCTTTTTTTATTATTAGTGCTTCCGTTATTATTATTATTATTATTAATCTTTTCTACGTAGATGAAGTTATTATATTTGCATTTTATGTTGTGGATAGTGTTTGGTAGATTTTGTTTTTTTGTTTTTTTACATTAGCTGACCTAATTCCCAACTCCTTGAGAGAGCCTCGTTACGCCTGCTTGGTCTCACGCTGTCCACTGACATGAGATGGAATAAATACATTGAATCAATAGCTTCATCTATCGCAAGGAAAGTTGGCTCTCTGTGTCGTTACAGAAAGTTTTTTTCTCGTCTGAGTTCTTCCTTTAAATCTATAAATCAACTATTCGTCCATGCATGGAACATTGCTGTCATATATCGTCTGATGCCCACGCTGTACGTCTCGAGGTACAAAGAACTATATGCAATATGATAGGTCCTGGTCTGGCATCTAGTCTACAATCGCTATCCCACAGACGGGCCGTGGCCTCCCTCTGTCTCTTCTACAAGTATTTTCACGGCAATTGTTCCGACGAGCTACTGTCGTTGGTTCCCAGACTTCATGAATTTAAATGAGCTACCAGGCTGGTATCCCAGTCCCACCCTTTCACTGTCCAAACGGTTATATGCAACCTTCTCTTCTTCTCAAACAGCTTCTTCTTCCACACTTCCAATCTGTGGAACACTTTTCTCCTTACTTGATTCCCCGATGACCATAATCTTCAAATATTCAAGTGTAATGTCAATCGACATCTGACACCCTGAGCTAGTTCCCCGTCCTTCTCTATATCCCTTCCTCAAACACGCCTCTTTACTCTTAGTCTCAATCCTCTGTAACTTCTTGCGTGCTAGTGGCACTCCCGCCTTACTTGGGGTGAATTGCCTTTAAAAAAAAAAGAAAAGAAAAGAAATAAAAGCGATTCCCAGTGCGTGGGATTTTTATCTGAGGTTTGGTGGGTAGGAATGAAAATGCCAAAAGACAAAGCACAGGTGAGGAAGAATTGGCGAGAACAGGAAATGATCAATCGTTTAGCGGAAGTATCGAGGCATGATGAGCCAAGGGGGTCGTTTCAGGCAGGATGTTAACCATAGGGCGACTTGTATATTATATATTAGGACATAAATTACAAGCTTGGATATTGTTGATTTGAATGATAATTCTCTCTGGGAGAGCGGTAAATCACAGGGACAGACAGAATGAATAGAATTATTTCGGATGAAATTTATTCAGCGCTTAACTTTCAGACCATATCCGAAATTTCATTTCACACAATGACATTTTTATTTTTTTTTATATATCAGTTTCGATTTTGCTACTTGATACTTCAACTCTTCAACTTTTTGTTCCCTCCGCTGTGGCTATGCATTGAACTCACAACTCTTTGGGTTAAGTCACTTTTGGATCACTCAACTAACGCTTTTATCCACTTGGCCATGGAGAGTTAAGTTACCAAGGAGAATTAACTGGGAAATTCCAACAAATATCACCTGAAGAAGACCGGGGCGTACAACGGCCGAAATGTCGTGAATAAGCCAATAAAGACGAGGACAACAGGCCAAACGATGTCAATAGTGTAAATAGTTACAATATCTCATCTCAGAAATAGAGACATATGTTGTAAAACTTTATCCACGGATTTGGTATTAAGTGCTTAATCTTTAAGCTAATAATCATCACCTTTGTTGTTTTGAATAAAGTATCCGATTGTGTACTGGAATAGCGGACAATGTCTCCTAAAATTTAAACAAAGTATTAAGAAACAGGACATTTTCATTAGACACAAAGAAAATAGTACTATACTGTTATGTAATATCAATCCTCCTATATGGCATTGAACCTGAGACAATCTCCTCACAGATGAAGAAGAGATTTGAGGCCATAGGAATGTCGTACTACAAAAGAATGCTGAGGATACAATAGACTGAACATGTAAGGAGGTATTTTTAAGGAAATAGAAACAAAAGAATCAGAAAAATTAGTTGAAATTTCTAGGAAAGATGAGGAAAGAAGGCTTAGAGAGTCCGTTACTGACTGGACATATTGAAAGCTGGAGGGAGAGTGGAAAGCAGCGAGTAGCGAGCTTGTGTAATCAGAGAGTAGAACAGGGATTGGGAGAGAAAGGACGAAGCTTACTAAGAGAGGCAAAGGATAGGAAATTGTAGAGAGACACGATCCCCCCTCGCGTGTTGAAAGAAGGAAGAGGAGGAGGGAAGAGGAAGAAGAGGAGGAGGAGAAGAAGAAGAAGGAGGAGGAAAGAAGAAGGAGGGAGAGAAGAAGGAGGAAGAAGGGGGAAAAGAAGGAGGAGGGGAAAAGAAGAATAAAGAAGAAGAAGAATGAGGAGGAGGAGGAGGAGGAAGAAGAAGAAGAAGAATGAGGAGGAAAGAAGAAGGAGAGGGAGATGAAGGAGGAAGAAGGGGGAAAAGAAGGAGGACGAGGAAAAGAAGAATAAGGAAGGAAAGAAGAAGAAGAAGAAGAATGAGGAGGAGGAGGAGGAGGAAGAAGAAGAAGAATGAAAAGGAAAGAAGAAAGAGAGGGAGAAGAAGGAGGAAGAAGGGGAAAAGACGGAGGAGGAGGAGGAAAAGAAGAATAAGGAAGGAAAGAAGAAGAATGATGATGATGAGGAGGAGGAGGAGGGGGAAGAAGAAGAATGAGGAGGAAAGAAGAAGGGGAGAAGAAGGAGGGGAGAAGAAGGAGGAAGAAGGGGAAAATAAGAAGGAGAAAAACAAGAAAAAGGAAGGAAAGAAGAAGAAGAAGAAGAAGAAGAAGAAGAAGAAGAAGAAGAAGAATGATGGGAAGACAAAAAATTGTGATGAGAAAATGAAGGAGGAGTGGAGAAAAAGGAAGTAGAAGAGAAAGAGGAGGAAGAGAAGGTGAAGAAGATGAAGAATGAAAAAGGAGGAGAATAATAATAATAATAATAATAATAATAATAATAATAATAATAATTCTGCCAGTCACCTGGCTTACAGAAAATATTCTAAAAACAAGCAGAAATTCTTGTTTAGATGTGAACAAAGATATGCTTCCGACGTAAAATACAAATTACTTAAATATTGATGTCATTTTGGGACGGTAGAGATTATGTTAGCGTTCTTTGGACTTTTTACTTGGAATATTTTAAAGGTAGAGTTCTTTCTTTTACGTGCAAAAATAGAGTAAATTTGAAAAATGAACAATTTTAAAAACTCAAGGAAGAAAATATAACCGATACAATTGCAAAATTAGAGTTAAATATGGCCGTCATATTTTTTTACTGGGCGGGGAGACTAGTAAAATAATAATAGTAAAACGTCAAGTTATTTTCGGAAAGAAAGAAAGAAAGAAAGAAAGAAAGAAAGAAAGAAAGAAAGAAAGAAAGTAAAACCTAAAATAAAAAGTAAAAAGAAAAAGAAAGAAAGAAAGAAAGAAAGAAAGAAAGAAGGCAGGATAAACCTCACAAATAAATAATGGTAAATCAAACAAAAATAAATAAAAAGAAAGAAAGAAAGAAAGAAAGAAGGGTAAACCTAATAAATAACTAAGGTTAAACCAAAGAAAAAAAAAAAAGAAAGAAAGAAAGAAAGAAAGAAAGAAAGAAAGAAAAGAAATGAAAAGAAAAGAAATGAAAAGAAAGAAAGAAAGAAAGGTAGACCTAATAAATAACTAAGGTTAAACCAAAGAAAGAAAGAAAGAAAGAAAGAAAGAAAGAAAGAAAAGAAAGAAAGAAAGAAAGAAAGAAAGAAAAAGAGAAAGAAAGAATTAAAGAAAGAAAGAAAAGAAATGAAAAGGATAAACCTAATAAATAAATAAGGGTAAACCGAAGAAAGAAAGAAAAAAAGAAACAAAGAAACAAAGAAATGTTAGCAGGAAGCGAAGAGAAAATAAATTAGAAAGAGGTGGAATTTTTCAGCTCCGGTGGAAGCGTGTGCCAGCCAATTGCGGAAAGAAAATCTGGGTCGGTCGGGGGAAAAGTGAAGTGGGGAAGGCCGTGTTTTAAGAAAGTATGATAGTAAAAAAAAAAAGAAATAAAAAAATAAGGACCGTTTCTCTTCAATCTTTTGAGACTAAGAAAACCGAATAAATCGTAACTGATAAGTATGGGAATGTAGAATAAGAAAAGCCATGACTCTCAATAATTTGTCCCTTCCTTGATGGATCCTTGTCTTTTTTTCCACTCAATTTCGTTTAGTTTTTCTTTCTTTTCTTTCTTTCCTATCTTTAGCAGTATCTTGACGCGTGGCTGGGATAATCTCTCTGCCGACCGACATACAAAAATAAAGGCAAACATCGCAAAAGGCTGCGAAGTCTGCTTTGAGAGATTGGGAGGGGGGAGTCTTGTGTCCGTACAGAACTGTGCAAATCGTTGCGAGGCGTGGGGTGCGGGTGTTCGTCCATTCTTTCGCTAGCCAATCGCCTGCTGCTACAGGCTTTACTCAAAGTTACCTGACTCCAAAATTTGGGAACGCACGATCCTATATACGGTGAGGTGAAAAATGACTAACTTCACACATGCATAGGCATGCACGCACACACAGATACAGGCGGACACACAGTAAATAAACTAGTATAAATAATAAAAAGAAAATAGAATTTAAAAAAAAACAGCTTCTTATTAATGCCGGAAACAGTATTCGAACACAGAAACAAAAACTGTGATTTCCATTGCTGATTTTTTGATTTTTTTTTTTGGATCATGTGTTGTATAAAACGTTCCGCATTTTACCACATGTGCGTAATAAATGATTTATAAAGTAAATATTATCAAAAGAGATTTCTTTCGTCGTATATTAAGAATGAGTGAAAGAAAAGGAATGAAAGAAAGAAAGAATGAAAGAGAGGAAGGAGCAAAGAACGAAACAAAAATACGACTGAAAAAATAATAAAAGAAAGAAAATAAGAAAGAGAGAAAGAAAGAAAAAGCTAGTGAGAAAGACAAAAGAAGAAATACTCAAAAGAAAGAAAGAAAGAAGAAAAGAATGAACGAAAGAAAAAGAACGACTGAAAAAAAGAAAGAAAAAATAACAAAAGAATAAAAGAAAGAAAGAAGAATGAAAGAAAATAAGAAAGCGAGAAAGAAAGAAGTAAAGAAAAAACTAGACAGAAAGACAAAACACGAAAAAATCAAAAGAAAGAAAGGGCAAAGGACAAAAGAAAGAAAGAAATCGACTGAAAAACAAAAAGAAAGAAAAAGGAAAAAAGAAAAAAAGAAAATAAGAAAGAAAAAAAAGAAAATGGTAGACAGAAAGACAAAAGAAGAAAACATCAAAAGAAAGAAAGAAACAAACAAACAAAGAAGCAAAGAACGAAAGAAAGAAAAAGAACGTGTGAAAAACAAAATAAAGAAAATAAGAAAGAAAGCAAAAAGAAAAATGAAAAAATAATGGAAGGAAATAAAAAAAAGAAGCCAAGAAAATGGTAAAGAAAATGACAAAAGAAAAAATCAAAAGAAAGAAAGAAAAAATGACTGAAAAACAAAAATAAAGAAAAAGGAATGAAAGAAAAAAAATAAAAAAGAAAAAATAATAGACAGGAAAGCAAAAGAAGAAAAATCAAAAAGCAAAGAACGAAAGAAAGAAAAAGAAGGAGTGAAAAATAAAAAGAAAGAAAAAGGAATTAAAGAAAGAAAATAAGAAAGGAAGAAGCAAAGGAACAAAAAAAAATAGAGAGGAAGGAAAAAGAAAAGAGAAACTAAAATAAAGAAGTAAATAAACAGAGAAATAAATAATCAGAAAGAAAAAAAGAAAGAAAAAAAGCCAAATGAAATAAAGAAACAAAGAAAGAAACACAGAAATATAGAGAGAGAAAGAAAAAAGAAAGATAGAAAAAAAGAAAGATTGAAAGAAAGAAAGATTTGAATATGTCAATGGGGAATTATAATGAATGCGGATTTTCCAAATAAGGGAAATCTCCGAAGCTACAATTAACCGATTGAAGTTAGTTTAATCTTGCAGGTTTAAGATGAAATCTTATATAGATGCCTATTTCATGCATAACGCTCAGTATATAAATGCATCACACACACACATTTATATATATATATATATATATATATATATATATATATATATATATATATATATATATATATATATGAAGTTGAAAATATGAATTATATCTGACAGAATAATTAAATAAAGAAAAAGAAGGAAAATCACGGAGGCAAAAAGGAGCGAAATTTAAAAACTGTAACATAATTCCGCATTATTAAAGTTTAAAACATTTCTAATGACGCTAAATAGCGAAACATGTTAAATTTATGAAGATTTTATTTAATTATACACACACACACACACACACACACACACACACATATATATATATATATATACATATATGTGTGTGTGTGTGTGTGTGTGTGTGTGTGTGTCCAAACAAATTTGATTAAAAAGAAACGTCAAGGTCTGTCGGCTTAATAAAACTCGTATCTCAACATCTTATTAGAAAAATGGAAAATAAAATAATATATATATATATATATATATATATATGTGTGTGTGTGTGTGTGTGTGTGTGTGTGTGTGTGTTTGTGTTTATTATAATTATTAATAAGAATAGCTAATCGCAACAATGTGAATAAAATCAGTGTTTGCTGATAGATTTAACTGGAAAAGCTTGACGAACTGAGTGACAGAATTTTTAATATTTGTGCTTTAAATACGATTACACACACACACACACACACACACACACACACATATACATATATATATATATATATATATATATATATATATATATATATATATATATATATATATACGGGAAATTTTAACAATCCAATAAAACCAAGAGTGATGGAAGAAAAAATATTTTATTCATAGTAATTGAAACCTTAAAACATGCCAATTAAGAAATAATGATGGAATTTTCTTTTTTTTATAAATTACGTCCTGTAGATGGCGTCCTCCTGTACGAATGCATTTCTGTAGTTCACTGCAACCAGCAAGCAGAAATATTTCTTCTCCTGATGATGGGCATTTTGGCCGAAACTAGTCGAGGAATCTAAATGAAATAATAATAAAAAAAACGAAAGAATATTAATGTACAACCCAGTGTGTCTAAAGATTTTAATTTTTTAATATTTTTTATTGTTCTATATATAAACTCTATCACCCGTCCTGTGTATGACGATAAACTACATCAGCGTCCTAGGTATGACGATAAACTCTATTACCCATCCTGGGTGGAATGACCTCTTAATTGTTGATGTTCTCAGGTCCACCCTGAACCTGGAAACACCATCAATTAGGGACCCAGATATGTTAGGGTCCCAGCTGTTATGGTTCCAGATATGGGTAAATAGTTAACCCCTAAACTGAGCTCAAAACACTATGAAAGTCATGAAAGTGTCAAAATAGGCTTTAATACCAGAAAAATTATTTCGAGCAATACATTTTTGAAAAAAAAGAATATTCCAGCAATACACTTTTGAAAAAGAAAAAAAATTACCAGTAATAAAAATCTTGTCCCCATTAAATGACCCATTGATAGACTGCAAAACGAACCAAACATAAAAACTTCTCTATCGCTACTTAAATGAGAAGTGCTCTGACGAATTACATTCCTTGGTTCCGCCAGGTCGAAACTTCACGTCTAGGATCAGCCATGCCAGTTACAAAGTAGCAATCCACCACCCCTTCCCTTCGTATTCCATCCGCTCAAACAGCTTCTTCCCGTGAACCACTGCTATATGGAACAGACTCCCAAGAGGATGTTTCCCCGATCACTACAATCTGAACCTGTTCAAGTCTAGAGTTAACCATTATCTTCCCCTCCTATCTTTATTAATTACCTATTAACGTAACCCTCTACCTCGAGTGGCACCCGGCCCTTGTACAGGGTGAACCTTACTATAAAAAAAAAAAAAGAGAGAAGTCTTTCATGATATTAACCCATATAATATCCTACAATTTTTTAAATCAAACTGTATTCCAAAATATAACTTCAACAAAACAACATAAAACACACATATCACAACCTCTAGTAATCATTTCCATACAAACATCTATATGCACAAAAGCTGAGTATCATCTACCATGTATTCAATTGTGAAAGCAGAATGACGTATAACATTTTTATTTATTCAAAGCTCCCCATTTCGGCATTACTCCATGAGGAGTTGATATGCCGTTAAACAGACAAATTAATCATAAATCAGTTTGATAAGTCCTACTAAATAATCTCGTTGTTGAAGAAAATATAAATAGGAATGCTACCTTCTGCACGCGTAAGCAGTAAGTACAACGTTTATTGTAATAAGAAAGAGTTCTAGATTCAAAGAAGTCCGTACGGTAGGTATGTTTTAAAAAAAAAAAAACTTATGTAATACTAGCTTAAAAGCTGTCCTATTCATAAATATCCTTGTACTTCGACGTGGTGTAATCATGACTGAGTAGTGAGCTCAATCCTCACTGGGTGCCCAATACTTTCGGCCTTGTGCCATATCTAAGCTACACTTAAAAAATCACCATAAATATGTTTCACATAATAAAGCTGATATATATATATATATATATATATTATGAAATAGACAAAGTCCGACAATTATTTTAAGACATTTTTTATGTGTATACGTTCTTTTTATAGATAAAAATATTTAAGTAAATGCTCTGTTTATAATAAACAGTATTAACGACATTTACCGGCCTGAATGTCCGAGAAATCTTCATAGAAAATGTGCGTCCTCCGATAGGAATCGAACCTGTCTCCTCTACGGAATCGTCATATAACTTAACGTGCTTTTACCGATTGAGCTACAGAGGAGCGTTTCGGTTATCAAGGTCGACTTTACTGTTTTTAAACTACAATTTCCTTATGATTTTCTCTCGTACATTAATATCTGCTCGATGCGTATCCAAATGTAAACAAATGACGTCACACATTATGAAATGGACAAAGACCGACAATTATTTTTAAGACATTTTTTATGTTTATAAACGCTCCTCTGTGGCTCAATGCTGTTCATATATATATATATATATATATATATATATATATATATATATATATAGTCATCAACAGACAGATTGCTTCACATCTCATCAGTGTGCCTAGAAGCCCGGTTGCCTCTAGCTAGGATCGAAACACGGCTGAATTGGCGTTAGTTGGATATTTTACCCATAAGCCGTTGGCACACGGAAGGGATGAATTTCAAATTTAAGCGTATTTAAGCGAATTCTAATTATATTTTTGTAGTGGGGTATATAAGTGTGTTTATATGCGTTTTTGTATCAGTGTATATATTATTTTTTATTTTAAAATAAACTGTCCACCTATCATTATAGTATGGTATATATATATATATATATATATATATATATATATATATATATATATATATATATATATATATATATATATATATATATATATATATATATATATATATATATATATATATATATATAAATTATTCATCGGTGAGTTTCCATTCGGTACCTGAGGATTGTATAGTGCAGGAAACTCAGAGTTGGGCTACCGGTGAGAAAAAAGGGATACTTATTAATTTTACTTATTATAAAACGCAGATTGTGTGTCTGTATGTTTATATATTTGATCGGATTTCCTACATTTCAACAAAACTTCACAGGACTACGTAAAATTACCTTGCGGTGGTTCTGACAGCGCCAAAAATTGGAAAAACACAATTGTTTTTGCACGAAATCAATTTGAAAACACGATTAACAGGCATTAATGAAAGGGGGAAAACTCATATCGAGTTATACTTATTCATATCAAGTTATCGAGTTATACTTATTATAAAACACAGGTTGGTTGTTTGTTTGTTTGTGTGTGTGTGTGTGTGTGTGTGTGTGTGTGTGTGAGAGAGAGAGAGAGAGAGAGAGCTCGTTTATATATGGGATCGGATTTCCTACATTTTTCAACCGATTTCAACAAAACTTCACTTATTTTTGGCAGGTAGTGCTTCTTATTGTCTTGCACACTTTTTTCTTTATTTTTACATTCAGAATGCTTTAAAAATTCCATTTGCAAGACAATTGTTTATAATAAAATTCTATTCAATCGGTAGACTCATAACGATTGAAAACAATGTTTTTGTTTGAGTTTGGGTTTGACCAATTCGTAAAAAGAATACAAAAATAAAAAATAAAACTAATTAAGACATGCGTGTCCGTCAAGCTTAAACAATAATCTTTGTCAATTTTATTTTTCAGTCTTTATGATGGTCGATACTTGATCTATCTCTTACTGTTACATCCCCGGGCAACGTCGGGCTCTACTGCTAGTTATTAATATATAAAAAAAAGAAGTTGGCAATATCCCGAAGGAGGCCTACAAAGAAGCGTTTCCTTTTTAATATTTTGAACTAAAAAACATTTCGCTTTGGAAACTTGCCTTGATAAAGTCGGATTGACGAAACCCAATACGTATATTTTCCAATTATCTTTTTTTCATCCATATATATATATATATATATATATATAATGTCGGATTATGAATAAAATCCAATGAGTCCTTTGAAATGACTTTGTTTACTTTTGGGATACAAAAATTTAAAACATAAGCAGCTATAAACGAGAGAGAGAAAAAAAAAGCATTTCTTAGATAGAGAAGGAGGACAGAGATAGAGAAGGAGGAAGAGAAAAGAGTAAGTGGGAGTAGAGGAAGAGGAGCAACGAAGAGAGAAAATGCGATAAAAGAGATAGATAGATAGATAGATAGATAGATAGATAGATAGATATGAACAGACTAATAGATAGATAGATAGACAGACAGACAGACTGACTGACTTACTGACTGACAAACAAGCATAACTAAATTATCTTTATTTATCTTTTTTTTATCCATATATATATATCTTTTTTTTATCCATATATCTTACTTATCATAAAACGCAGATTGTGTGTGTGTGTGTGTGTACGTTTATATATTGGATTGGATTTCCTACATTTTTCAACCGATTTCAACAAAACTTCACAGGACTACGTAAAATTACCTTGCGATGGTTCTGACAGCGCCCAAAATGGGAAAAAAATCAATTGTTTTTGCACAAAATCAATTTGAAAACACGATTAAGAGGCATCACGAGAATGAAAGGGGGACAACTCATATCGAGTTATACTTATTATAAAACCCAGGTGTGTGTGTGTGTGTGTGTGTGTGTGTGTGTGTGTGTTGTGTTCGTTTATATATGGGATCGGATTTCCTACATTTTCAACCGATTTCAACAAAACTTCACTTTTTTTTTTTGGCAGGTAGTATTTTTATTGTCTTGCATACTTTTTTTCTTTATTTTTACATTCAGAATGTTTTAAAATTCCATTTACAAGACAATTGTTTATAATAAAATTCTATTCAATTGGTAGACTCATAACGATTGAAAACAATGTTTTTTGTTTGAGTTTGACCAATTCATAAAAAAAAACAAAAAACGAAAAAAAAATAATTAAGACATGCGTGTCCATCAACCTTAAACAATAATCTTGGTCAATTATATTTTTCAGTCTTTATGATGGTCGATACTTGATCTACTGCTAGTATATATATATATATATATATATATATATATATATATATATATATATAAAAAATGTCGGATTATGAATAAAATCCAATGAGTCCTTTGAAATGACTTTGTTTACTTTTGGGATCCAAAAATTTAAAACATAAGCAGCTATAAACGAGAGAGAGAGAAAAAAAAGCATTTCTTAGATAGGGTAATTCAACTAACTATGGAAAGCTTTACAGTTGTTTTCCATTTTCCTCTACAAGGCGGACGGAGGTTCGAACCCTACCGGAAAACATATTTTCTTTATTATGCCATTCAATTGCGCAGACCGTGAGACAGATCTGGACTGTTTGAAAATAAGGTATATCCACTCAATGTATATCCGGGCAACATGAGGATATGGAATACATACATCCGGATAATGTACCATATATTGTAACACCATGCTGTTGGGAAAAATAACCTCTTTCTCGATCATCTTCTACACTTCCACCCCTCATACAAGCAGTAAATTATAGATTATCTTTTAAATTCAGAAAATTATTCCTGATCCATCCCCAGCGCCTGAAGATTGTTCTACCGGCCCCAAATCGCGGGTATATATGATGCTGCCGGTAGCGACATCGTAAAATCATGTCGAGAGAGACAGACAGAAAGACAGACAGAGATAGAGAAGGAGGAAGAGAAAAGAGAAAGTGGGAGTAGAGGAAGAGGTGTGACGAAGAGAGAAAATGCGATAAAAGATAGATAGATAGATAGATAGATAGATAGATAGATAGATAGATAGATATGAACAGACTAATAGATAGATAGATAGATAGATAGATAGATAGACAGACTTACTGACTGACAAACAAGCATAACTAAATTATCGATTGAATTTTTTACATTTTCAAAAAGCGTTAGTTGAAATCTCTGGAACATATAATGAGGAAAGTGGGCTTGGAAAATTTGATACTCACAAGACAGATTGAAGGCTAAAATACCAAAAAAAAAGCAACGCACAACCGACCTGGCGAGCTTGAGAGAATGGATGCCGGGTTATGATTAGGTAGGGGTGGCAAAAGGACAATATTTATTAAGAGCCCCAAATGACAGGAAATTGTGGAGAGTCATAATCGCCAACGTTCTGAATGTACACGGCACATACATGAAAAAAACTTATTTAGATATTAATATTTTCGCGTTATTTTTTTTATGGTATTATAATTTTCTTTTCAGTTCTTTTTCGCTATAATTGGTTTTTTCCACCGAATTATAAAATTCTGATGTAATTTGTGCATAAAGGAACCCTTCAGTCTGTGGTAATGGACGAATTAGTGGACACATCGCACCTTGGTCTAGGTTTTTTTTTGTTTTTTTTTTTGTGGATATTATTGAAATAGAACCACCTGTGACTTGTATTAGTCATTTATTTAACCTAGTTTAGTCAGAGCGAGCGAAAGTAGGCGACAAACACACTCAGGCCACAAATAAAACGATATGCAACTTGCTCTAAATAGACACAAGATTGTTTTCATGAATAAAGGTAATTTTTCTCTTTCAGTAAACTTGCTGCTACTTGATCTCCAGTGTAAGCAGACAAATGCTAACGGTGTGAAAAGTGAACATATGCAATAATAATAATAATAATAACAAATAGTACCCGTAAAAATTCATGGTTTTCTTATTTGAATTGTCTGTTGAATCATAATGTCTAATAAGTAAATATGCTGGATTAAGGAATAGCGGCTCGGACTGAGGAATCGGAGAGCCGAGTTCGAATTCCAGTCAAATCCATTACATTCACTTACGTGCTAATATCCTTCGTAAAGGTATGAATGCTATTCTTCTAAGCCCCCCCACCCCAGCTATGGGTAAATAGCAGGAGAGAGAAGAATAGCCTTGGATGGCAACGGGTCTACCCCAGAAAGAAAATGACAACCTGCTGCAGGGAAAAAAAATCTGCCTCGTCAGTCATGTATCGAAAGATACATGATCGCCTAAGCGTGTATCAAGCATGGCATATAACTTACGTGCTAATACCCTTCGGAAAGGTATGAATCCTATTCTTCTCCCCCCCAACAGCTCTGGGTAAGTAACAGGACAGACTGGGTTCTATAGCCTTGGATAGCAACTGGTCTACCACAAAATCGAAAGATACATGATCGCCTAAGCGTGTATCACGCATGGGACATAACTGAGTGATATTCACTTCGAGTTTCACGATTATAAAATACTCGTGAAAACTTCCCTAATGCCTCATGAAATATTTCAGTTTAACTTTAAACAAATATTGCAATAATATTCCTAAGCATGAATGTAGGTCATGATCTGAAGAAGTAAGAGGGTACGAATGAAACGATTTAAAATTTAAACAGACGTTGAAAACATGAGAGCGTTATCTTCTCTTTCTTTTTTACATTCTTTGTCTCACTGAAACCAGCGTCTCTGTTATGTCTTTTCCGCCCTTCCTTGCGTCAAAATGGAACAATCCATTATTTATGAGATATTAGTGGGTGTGTAATGTACGTGGTAAGTAACTAACAACGAAACGAAGGAACAAACAGAAAATAATAATAATAATAATGTTTCTTTGAAGATCTTTAAAAAAAAAAACTATCAAAATACAAAGACCTTGAAATCGAAATCTCAAAAATGTGGCATATGAGAACATCAACCATTCCAGTTGTAGTTGGAGCCCTCGGATTAATTCCAAATGATTTCAATAGACTCATTGACAGGATTTCTGGTAGCTCATGTCTTAAAGAAATACAAAAACAAAAAGTAATTCTTTCAAGTACTACACATACCTTACGAAAGGCTTTATGTATGTAAAATATGTGATTTTTTTTTGATTTTTTATTTTGCTCAGTGGAAAATGTCAGGATGCCGTTTTTGACCTTAGGTATTTGGTCGGGACCCGGAAAGAAATAAGTACACACCAGAAACCAAAAGAAATAAAATAAGTTATAATAATAATATTTACATAAGCTCTACCCTTTATATTGAGCACTTTAACCCACAAATATATCATAACTTAAAACTATATTATTATCATTCAGGCTAGAAAGTTTTAGGAATTCTACCAGACTAGCCAGACATGCGTGAGAATTAAATGAAAAAAATAACAAATATCCGACTGTAAATTAGAAAATATTTAAAAAAAAAGGCAAAACTTACAGCAATCTTAGTAATATCTGCAAACTGTGCCATGAGGAAAAAGTTTACAATAGTAACATTTCCATACCAGAAAAATCTTCCGAATGAAAGATCGAAAACAATGACACGATGCATAAACACTGAAAAGTATTTTTTGAGTTCGTACGAAGCAGGATGAAAGTATGTATATTTTTCTTTACTCCTCCTCCAATACAATTTTAATACTCTTGCTTTACTCCTCCCCTTCTATGACACTTCATGTTGTGTGTTTATATATAAATAATAAAGCGTTAGGAAATCATTTAATCCTTATCGAATGAAGATACCGAAAGGTTGAAACTAGTCTATCATCATTGACTGATCTCCTAACTTTTTATATATATATATATATATATATATATATATATATATATATATATTTGAATAAAAACAGATCACTTTAAGGTTCTATGTAATAAGTTATTTCACCACAGCCCTTTTAAAGGGCTCTGGATCATCAGACTTTACTTCCAAAAGTTGAAATGAAAAATGAAAAGAAACTTACACATTTTTGACGGACCGCACCAAGCATATGTAAAATTAACGAAGTGAGGAAGTCAGGTGGGGAGAGAAGATATGAGGAGTTAGATGTACCATTTTCAATTCGACGAATTGAAAATGGTACATCAAACTCACTATTCAAATGTACCATTTTCAATTCCTTGAATACGGATTACCTAGTTTTTGCATAAACTATATATATATATATATAGTTTATCTCAAAACTATATATATATATATATATATATATATATATATATATATATATATATAAAGAAAGATGTATGAAAAATTGGAAAATAGTTTTTGCGACGCATTCATTAGGACTTCATCGGATGAAACGCATCACAAAAACATTTTCCGATTTTTCATACATCTGTTCTTTCAAAACTGTCCTTGATATATAAAAATTTATATATATGAATTTAGTGCATCACCGCGTTGTAAGAACCCTAGATGAATACTAGAATGACGCTCCTACGCACGCGCACAAAGTTTACTTTCTTCTATAGAGATTAGCTTTTAGGGTCAATTTGTCGACGTTTATCCTTGTCAATCCACTGTTTATTGCATTTAACATTGTTGTATGCAACCCACTTTTCATCACCTGCTATAATATATTTAAGGAACGGTTAGTTAGAAGGATGTATTTGTCATATCAAATGGTTCCCTAAAGCGGAATTTAATTTTGCTTCAACATAATCGATCTATCTGCCAAACTGAACAGACAGCAGAAAAGAGACGACAACAACTCCTACAGAAGGTAGTGAAGGAAAGCCAGAAGAAAGGACTAAATATCAATTGATAGAAGACGGAATGCATGGTTGTTAGAAAAAGGAACAGCCCAATATGCAAATGACAGATTAATTAGACATACCTAAATCGAACACGTGCAAAAATTTAGATATCAGAGGAATGTTTTAATAGAAAACGGATAGTGCGACACAGAAAGCCAAACATGTTTTGGGATAGGGAAAGTTGCCTTCAGAAACCTAAGCAAAGTAATAAGAAACAGAAAAGTGCTGTTAGAATCAAATAAAATATTACTGAACTGTTACGCCGTATCAGTCCTTCTATATGCTAGTGAATGCTAACAGATGAAGAAGAGAACTGAAGCAACAGAAATTCGGTTCTACAGAAGGATTTTGAGAATACCATGGACCGAACATGTGAGCTACGGGGAAGTTCTAGATATATTGTCAATAAAACGAACATTTAAGATCAGGTAGAGAGACTTGAGTTTTCTGGGACGCATGATGAGGGCTTGAAAAATCCGATATTCACACAGCACATTACCGTAAGAGGGACAGAAGATAACAGCGCACAGCCTACCCACAAGCTTGAGCGAATGGATGACGCAGCAGAGTTTGGGAGAGATGAGAAAAAGGCAAAAGTTATTAAGCGCTACAAATGACAGGAAATTATGGAGAGCTATAATCGTCAACATCCTGAAAGCACACGGCACATAGCTGAATAAGATCCCATCCAATACTTAATGAAATGTAGTCTCTACTTTAAATTCACTAATGTATTATTTTGTATTTAACATACCAAAAGGCTGGTTGCACCTGTTAGAGCCCCAACTATGGACAAATTGGGGTTAAAACATTATGAAAATATAAAAATACATACAATAAATGCAGGCAGAGTCTATCGTTCTATAGATAAACACTTGGAATGTAGCTTTGGACGTTTCAAAAGATTTGACAAAGTCTGGCATTCAGGTCTCCTCCAAAAGCTGAAAAGTTACGTTAACTCCGGGCACATTTTTGATCTGATCCAGTCGTTACTATCAAATCGTGAAATGAAGGTTGTCTTAAACGGCCACTCGTCTACATCCTTTCGTACTAACGCGGATATCTCCCAGGGCTCTTTGCTTGGTCCTACGCTGTTTTTAATCTTTATTAACGACCTTCGCGATGACATCAGCTCTCAACTTGGCATCTTCGCTGACGACACTACCATTTCCTCTTGCTCCTGCCTCGACACTAAAGCTGATCAGTACGACAAGGTCAAAATGGAAGCTGATGCACATAACGACATCAAGACCGTCGTTAACTGGGGCAAAAGATGGCTTGTTAATCTTAACGCCTCCAAAACTAAACTTTTTTTTTCATTTTTATTCATAATATATATATTTTTTAATTCTATTAATCTTTTGCGTTAGATTTCAACTCTGTAAATTGATTGTACGCTGTTTTATACATATATTAAATTTTCTTTTGATTTTTAAGCAAAGTGTAAAAACTATGTTTTTTTTTTGTTTGTTTTTTCGATTTTTCACCTTCAAGGTTGTAAGTTTTTCCAGTCATTTCGGACTCAAAACCGCCACTGTAGAATTATCTATCAAACCAAAAAAAAAAAATTTAATCGAAATCGGATGAAAACTGGAAACGCTTAAACAGCATCCGATCACACACACACACACACACACACACACACACACATTTTGAGAATTATAGATAAACATGTTATTTTGTAGATCATAGACAGGTCACTGTTGAATAGTGCATCAGGGTTAACGATCTCTACCATTAGCATACCGAACAACCAACGATACTTTACGGACAGATTCATCTACTAGTTTTCACTTACAAGCAGGTAAACGCATCATGGTCAAAAAGTACTGGGACTGTGGCTATGGTAACAGAGCTTTTTATAAGAGTGCTTGGAAGGAAAGTGTGTAGAGTGTGGTCGTCTCACCATATCTCAGAAGGTCCATCAGTGACCATATGGCTTGTGCAGCAGTTTTTGGCAAAGTACAACATTCCCCAAGTCCGACAACCACCATATTCCCCAGATGTCACTTCCTGTGACTTTTTTCCTATTCAAAAAATAAAATCGCAGTGGAAAGATTTCAAGACGTCCAGGAAATTCAAGAGAATGTGACAAGGCAGCTGCTCGATACTGCAGAAGAGGAATTCCAAGAGTGCTTCCATGAATAGAAACGACGCTCGATAAAGTGTGTGACTTCAGAAGAGGACTACTTCGAAGGAGATTAAACGCCGAATTGATAGACGTAGGGATAGATAGATAGATACATAGCTAGATAGATAGATACCTCCATACATGCTTACATAAGTATAGATACATACATACATACATACAGAGGCGTACATATATATATATATATATATATATATATATATATATATATATATATATATAGATAGAAGAGAGAGACAGACAGACAGAGAGAGAGAGAGAGATAGATAGATAGATAGATAGATAGATAGATAGATAGATACCTCCATACCTGCATAAATAAGCATAGATAGACAGATAGATCTATATACATAGGCATAGATAAAGAGATAGTGAGAAAGAGAGAGAGATGAAAAAAGACATAGATAGATAGATAGATAGATAGATAGATAGATAGATAGATAGATGTAAAAGCACACACATAATTTGTGCTTTCAATATTACATAAATGGATATAGTTTTGCTCTGCTACTATATTGAGAAATGTATTTTCGATTTTCCGACAAATAGCACATTGTTTT